AGCGAGGTGCTTCCCTGCCATGGTGTGCCCGGAGGTCACGGAACAGATTCGTCGTGAAATTGCTGCATCTCTTCATCAACGAAAGGGAGACTTTGCTTGCTATTTTCTGACAGACCTCGTAACTTTTACGTTACCTGCAGGTAGTTGCAAAGTTCTTCTTACTGATGGAAGATTTATTACTTTGTTGCTACTTGAGAATTGCATTTTTATATATACACACACATTGTGACTTTCTGATGGTGGGAGACATGTATTTGCTCGTTAATATTCCATATTTGCACACTTCAACACATATGTTGTTCCAGTGAAGTGAACGTTTGCTGACCTCTTTAGACATGAGGAAACTGAAGAAAAGAGGTGTATTCTGAGGAAGGGATGTGTTTAAGATTGGATATTTCTGGGCTCTGATAGGGCTGAACAAGTAGCTATGTCAGCTTGCAGTCCTTTCTGTTCAGGCCCAGAGCTATTCTTTGCATTTGTACCTGGCTACAGCAGTAGCACTTTTGGAGTATTTCTGAGGTACCTGCGATCAAGAGAACGTTTATCTGTTAACAAAAAGCTCCTTGGAGACTTTTAATCTTCAGTAGCTATTTCCTTTAATAGAAATGCTGCCAGAGGTAAGAAATCATGTAGATAGAAACTCTACTAATGAGCACATCCCTTTGTTGCTTTTTTCTAAAAGCAGTAGCACTGCAAGAATGGCATTTGGAACCTCTTTGGTTGAACGTTACCTCATCTTGTCCTCTTCAAAAAGTCTGGCTAATATTTACCACGTGTCTGCCAGCTCTGTTTGAGGTGCTGTGTTCAGCTGTGCTCTGTGGGTCACGTCTGAGGGGCAGACGGTGTGGGTGTAGGCGGAGCCTGGAGACTAACACTTTGTTTCTGGTTTAAGAGAAGCAACAGAATAATTTTGTAGCACACATGAGAAACGTTGTGCTTTGCCAGAATGGAGGAATTTGCTCAGTGTTTTCAAGAGACACATCTTAAATCACTGTGCAGTTTTTTGACGTGTGTAACAGCCATTAAATAACTAAGGAATAAGAATGTTCAAAAGCTTCTGCACATCAAGACTGTCACTGTATCTCCACTTCCATTACACTTAGTCGCTGAACATTTCTTGTAGTCAGCAGTTGGCAGCTGGTTTCAAGGCAATGTTTCTAAGGGCAGTGATATAAATCACACATTCCTGTTTAGATATTACCTATATGATGTAGTTTAGGAACCAGTTTCTGCTCGATCTTTCGAATAAATTAGTATGATCCTCCCAAAGTGCCAATGCAGGGGTGCAAAACTTTTAAATTGATTCCTGGCCACTATAAGCCAGTCTTAGTCTAAAAAACCCCCAGTAGATCATACAAAAAGACCACCCCACAGCACCCTGCCTGCACCCAGTGCTTCAGTAGCAGCTCACATGCTTTAAAGTGGACTTCACTTCACTTCTGAGTGTTTAAGTTTAGCAGTTTAGAAGTTCTTCCCCATGAGGGTGGTGAGACCCTGGCACAGGTTGCCCAGAGAGGGGGTGGCAGGCCCATCCCTGGGATTTTTTCAGGCCAGGCTGGATGGGGCTCTGGGCAGCCTGATCTAGTGGGGGATGTCCCTGCCCATGGCAGTGGGCTGGAACTAGAGGATCTTTAAGGTCCCTTCCAACCCTGACAATTCTGTGATTCGAATTATGCTGAAACCAGCAAAGTTTCTCTCCTTGCTGATCACCCTGCAACACTTCAGTGCTTATCCTGTATTGAAATGCAGGCCACGAGCAAATCTTTAAGATGGAGCAGATGTTTTTGTTGTAGAATGTGTGATAGTGTTTCTTGACACTTGAGTCAGAAAAGAGGTGCCTTCTCCCTGCCCTTTTTTTATTAGATTGGTCCACAGTTGCAGATTCTGTCTGTAAAGCTCTTGAAACAGCTGTCACGAGTGGCATTTTCCATGTCACAGCTCGGTAGTTCACCTATTTTTTTTCTGTTTTCTAACCTGCAAACTGCGTTCTAAAAACCTTTGGGGTTCTCTGAACTAGTTCCTCGAAATCTGCTGGAGGTGGATGCTCTGTGCAAGAACAAGCGTCTGGGCAAACTGTACCTGTCTGCTGGGGGAGACCAGGGAGGGGAAGCCCTTCAGATGGGTGAAAAACTATCTCTTAGGTTTGAACCTGTCCTAAATAGAACAGGATTGAAAATACTATTTTTTTTTTTTCCCCTAACCTCAAAGCGGTTCTCTACTTCACTTTCTCCTTCAGAGAAATCCATTCTTACCCTACGCGTGCTGTGACGATCCTTTCTGCACAAAAGGTAGGACAGTCAGTCGGAGACACAGACCTGCTTGAGCGCGCTCTGTGAAACCTACGGTCACAAGTGGCAGAGCTGAAAATATCAGCAGCTTCTCGGAGGAGACGCTAGGGACGATAGGGAAAAAGCTGTTGCCTGTGTTTTGAGCATCAGCTGGTAACGTGTGTCTTTTACAGTAATGCTAAAGTGACTTTTGTATTTGCTTTTTCCAGATATTGAAGACTTGCCGCCCACAGTCCAAGAAAAGTTATTTGATGAAGTGCTTGATAGAGATGTTCAGAAAGGTAAGTGCTTTGAGAATGACTAGAATCTCTCATTGCTTTTCATTAGAGAACACTTCTGTGATTAAAAAAAAAAAAAAAAAGCGTGTGTATACCTATGTGGCTTTGTTGCCCGATTCTGTTCTAAATATAGATTTGATGCTTTCAAGCTAATCTTCACCCTGGAATTATTTTTACATGTACATCTTAATGTTACGTTTAATGTTGTATAACTTCCTCTGTGAGGCAGAGAGAGAACGGAGTCTGTAGAAATCTTGCTTGTAACGTACCTTTTGAATTTTAAAGATTTTTAAAGCTTCACAGTTTTAAGTCAGAAACTCTTTAAAGAATCACAGAATGTTCGGGGTTGGAAGGGACCTCTGAAGATCATCTAGTCCAACCTTCATCCCAGCACACCCGACCACTACACCACAGCCTCAAGTGCTAGATCTACTTTTTTTTTGAACACCTCCAGGGTTGGTGACTCCACCACCTCCCTGGGCAGCCTGTTCCAGTTTCAGTAAAGAACTTCCTCCGAATATCCAACCTAACCTTCCCCTGACGCAACTTGAGGCCATTTCCCCTTGTCCCGTCATTAGTAATTAGAGAGAAGAGACCAGCACCAGCCTCAAGAAGACCAAACAAATATTTTCACTTCAGTAACAAAGCACCACATCACTTGAGGATTAAGGTGGTTTGGTGTGGGGTGCTTTTATTTTTGTTTGATTGTGTTTTTTTTGTCTTTTCCTGACAATATGGTGCTTTTATTTTTGTTTGATTGTGGTTTTTTTTGTCTTTTCCTGACAATATTTTTGGCCAGGGAATATCTTTAGCCACTGTAGTTCATGTTTTTTTGTAGTATGAAGGAAAACTTCCCTTTTTTTCATGTAGATGGTGTCTGCTGTTAAGGCTTTGCCATTAGTGTGCTGTTTGGATCCTCTGAGACTTCAACCAAACGCACGTTTTAAAAGCGGTTACTGTCACGTTGCAGAGCTAGAAGAGGAGTCTCCCATTATTAACTGGTCGCTGGAACTGGGTACGCGCTTGGACAGCAGATTATACGCACTTTGGAATCGGACTGCGGGGGACTGCCTGCTCGATTCAGTCCTACAGGCCACCTGGGGCATTTACGACAAGGATTCAGTGCTGCGGAAAGCTCTTCACGACAGTTTACACGACTGCTCGCATTGGTGAGTTGGTTTATATCGATGTGAAGGCCAGCTTGCCGTGTGCCGCAGCAGTTGTTAGCGGTACGGCGTTCAAAAGAAGCACAACCATCGCTCCCCAGCTCGCTGTGCGCTCTGCGCCTCCGAGATGTCGAGTCACGCTGTGATTCACGTCGTGATCTTGATCCCAGCGTGTCTTAAAGGCGAGCGCTGGAAACTGGGGTGTTCCAAACTCGGTGCTGGTGTGTGATGCTAGCAAATAGCATTTTAAGCCAAGTATTTTGTGCCGTGTCCTTGTCGAGGGGGCGCTGACCGCTGTTGCTAAGACTGGAGGGTTTGTATACTTGTGCGGTAAATCATGCGCATACCATGCCTTGCTGCCTGGTGGAGGCTTTGCAGAAGATTGTTAATAGAAGATAGCCTCCTTGTGCTGTATAAACTTCTCAGTATTTTCATTCCATCTGCTTAGTTACAGCTTTATTCGGTATTGCTCTTTTCGTGCCTGTTCTGTCTGCTAAAATAATGGCAGTAAAGCCGAGTGTTGACATTTAACTAGCGTTGTCATTTGGCCATGGAATTAGTTTATCATTCTGTAAAACAACTTGTGTTATTTTACACTGGCAACCTTCTAGTCCGAGACTGTGGTTTGTCTCTGCTGGAGGAAAAATTCTTACTGTTGGACCCCCAGCAGTGTCCAACAGCTCTCGAGCGTGTGATGGGACGAAGGGAAAAGATTGATAAAGACTAATAATAAAAAGACCCGGGCAGTTAGGTTGCATCTGTTGTTGAAGGACAAGGGAGATGCAGTCAGCAGGCAGCCTGTCCCTTTGCTCCGTGCTGTACGGGACGGCAACAGCAAAGTTTAATTTTAGGGATAGTATAGGTAGGTTTTGGGATTGCTGTCCCCAGCTGCCCGCTCTTCAGAGTAGACTCCCAAGGCTGGCATCCGGAGCGGGATTCAACACAGCTTCCCTACCAGCTCTCCCCTAGAACCTGCCTCCGAGTGGATCTGACGCTGCCTCACGGTTGTGTATAACGGAGCGTGCGTCGCCACCACGCAGCAACGTCCCTGGCGTCACAGGCAGTTCTCCCGAGGCCAGAATAGAAATTCGTGATAGATCAGGTTTTGTTCTTCATGGTAACAAAACCAAGCACGGTATCCAAAACCGGGCTGTGACTATTGAAGTTCAAACCAATCTTTCAGAGTGCTGCTGTTAACAGTTGTTGATTTACTGTTGCATCCAACATAACACTCCTAGAGTGTATTAAATCTGGTTGAGCTTTGTAGTTGGTGTTCTAGTCAGAACTTGCATTTTGCTCTCAGTTTATTTTGTTTTTATCGTTAATCAAAGTGCGTTTTTTTGGAACTGATTAATGTATTCCTTTATAGTTGTTTGAGTACTGTTGCCTGCCTTTGGTCTGGATAATCTTATTTGCTAGTTCATCATCAGAAAATTTAGTTCAGGTTCTAGTACAAACCTCTACAGAGCTACATCCTTAAATGTACAGACTGGGAGGGTCTGCTACTGTCGACCAGTAGGAACTGGTCTGCCTGCAGAGTCTGTTAGTGGTGGAAATTGGTGAAGAATCAGCTGACGTGTTAGTGATGATTCCAGATCAGCCCTGAGTCATCATTCCTTTCAAAAAATCCACATGGAGGGTGCAAGAAGTCTGTAACTTAAGGTCTGCTATGAACTGATCATGCTGCACATCCTGTACTTGCTGTATAGACCCGTATGGGGGAAAATACATTTGATTTTGTGGGCTAGGACGTACGGCAGATTGGAAGTGACGTTGTCATCAGTGGCTTTAAGGTACACTTTGGCTTTTCTCCGGTGGAATTGTTTTTCAGAGCCTTCACAAAGACACTTAAAAATGGATGTTTTTGCATTCGGACGCCAAACGTTCATGTAACTCATTTGGCCTCGTTTTGTTACGTTTGTTCAGATGCTGAACAAAGAAGAACCTATTTACTAGTGACAGCCCAGCGTCTGCTGCTCAGAAAGAGCTCGGGAGTGGAGTTCCCAGAGGCTCTGGCCTCTGGAGTCTTTTCCACTCACCTTTTCAATGACTGCACTTTTAGTTTCCTCAAAAGTGTGTTCTCGTTTGTGCCCTTTTGTGTTCCACTGTTAGCTTTTGGTGGAGAATGGGAGGATGCCCTAAGTTGGCTTTCAGAGGATTTTTGTATGAGTGCGTTCAGTTCTTTTGTGTTAGATGGAAAAGTTTGGTTTTAAGTAAAGTCAAAATCTTGAGCCTTCTCTCTGCAAGTCTTCGTCCTGTGAGCATCTGCAGATAACTCTATCCTCAAGGAGGAAAATTCTTTAGGAAAACAGTTTCACAGTAAAGCTTTTGCAGGAGTAGTTTTGTGTTGTATTTTTTCCCCTCCTTTTTTTTTCTTCTCGCACTCCTTTTTTTCCTTTCTCTTTAGCAGAACCTGATCAAACCTCTTGCAGGAGACCTGGTGATTAATTAATTTAGCACAAGGTGCTTGGTTAGAGGCTTCTGTGGGGAAACAGGCAAAATATCTCTGAGCTGCAAAGCTGGAAATAGTTGATGTCTTCGGATAGAAACTGGAAAGTAGATAAAGCCAGAATATTCCCTGTGGATATATTGCTATGAGTGAGCACATACACCTGTTAGAAGCTCTTACTAGTAGTAGTAAAACCTTTTAAGCCCCACACAAGTTTTAGCTGTACTTGGGAGAGCCAGCCTGGTTGGCGACAGATACATACACCAAGATTTTAGAATGATTCCATCTTTATTGAAAACATAGGAATGGTTTCTTCCACACGCACTTTCTGTCTGTTAATTTTCCCAGATTTTAATTAAATGAGCTCATTGCAATAATTTTGGTTTTAATAAGCTGAACTTCAGAATGGTTTCTTTGTATTCACAGTAAAGGCCATTGTTTAAAAGTTGGCTTAGTGCTCGTCACTAAACCCCTGTTCGAATGGGAAATCGTGGCCATTCTGTCGCATAGTGGTGAGGCTGGGCTTAAAGTTATATAAAGCCAGCATCTGCTTTTGAATGTGTTGGTCTTTTTTTTTTTTTTTTTTTTTGCAATTGATTAAGTAGTATAAAACATCAGGACTCAACTAGCGTACAAAAATGCTGATTTTCATTCAGTCAGAAAAACAGAAATCCCGTGACTTCAAAACTTGCAGAGTAAATTGGATAAATCCCAGTTTTTCTGTGTTCGATTCTTATCCACAGTGCTTTATGTGAAATTACTGTACTCTTTGCTCCAAAAACGGATAGAAAACAGATTCTACCTCTTAACTGTAGTCTGTGTGAAGCTGATACTCAAGGACTTTGGAGTTAATTGGCTCGTGGAGTGAATGTGCTGGTTGTGTGAGAAGAGTGAGCAGCTCTCCTGTGAAACCGAACGTCTTGGTTATGCTCCCCATGCATCAACACTGAAATAATCCTAAATAAGGCTTCAAAACAAGAGTTGAGTGTTGTTACCAAGTGTGTGGTAGTTGAGTAAATAGTTTTTGTCTTTACTTCTCCCTCTCTCTCCCACATTTTAGGTTCTACACACGCTTGAAAGAGTGGGAATCGTGGTATTCGCAAAGCTTTGGTTTACATTTCTCGTTGCGAGAGGAACAGTGGCAGGAGGATTGGGCATTCATACTCTCTCTTGCAAGCCAGGTAAGAAAAATTCCTTAAGATTGCTGCTAGAAAGGATATTTTAACCTCCAAAAAGAAATTTTGAGAACTTGGGGTGTTCTCAATAATAAGAATTTCTGCGCATAAAGGAAAACACTCCTCATAGGCCAGCAATCTTAAAGTATTATTGGGTGCACTCTTCTGCCAAGATGGAAAGCTTCATTTAAAATTCTAATTTCTGAGCTTGCCATTAAGCAGTACAGTACAGAAAAGTATGTGTCAGCGTCAGAAGGAAGTTTGTAGAATAAAATAATTCATAATCATCTATTTAATGTCCTGCTGACTCCTGCAGCATTTAACCTCCTAGAACATACCTGCAAATCTTAGCTTACACTACTTAAGCTTTGGCAAGCTCGTATTTTATAACTCCCCTTCAAAAGGAGATTTACATTCCTATAAGCTTCCAAGTATAGGAGTATTTTTAGCTCCTCTTTTAAAGTATAAGCATGATTCTGGTGCGATTTTTTGGCGATGTGCTCTTTTCCTGTCATCAAAAGGTATTTACCTTAACCTGTTGTCAGATGTGTGAATTATTTTTAGGCCGATATTATGTAGAGTTTCGCTTCTAACTGAGGAATGAAATACGTTGAGATTGAATCTGGGCAGTAGGACAAAGAATTACTACTGACAGGTTAAGTTCTCATGCAAGCTGAAATACTTTTACTCATTTCCAACTGATGTATATTAGTCTTCCAATTTTCTGCTTTTCCTTTCAAAGGTAGATCCTTCTTAAAAGCATTTTCTGTCTCCATTCGGAGCCTGTTTTTCAAATTTCAAAGTAGAGAATGCTAAGTTCTGTTTCAAGCGGTGTCTTTCTTTTGTGTTTGGTTCAGCCTGGAGCGAGTTTGGAGCAGACACACATTTTTGTACTTGCACATATTCTTAGAAGACCAATTATAGTTTATGGAGTAAAATATTATAAGAGTTTCCGAGGAGAAACACTAGGATATACCCGCTTTCAAGGTAAGCCCTTCAGTTATTTTTTTTTTTCAAATCCCGTTTGAAAAATGTTCAGCTATAAATCATAAAGGATGTTGAAAGCTGAGTGGCATTAAGCTACTGCCTGGAAGAAGATGGAATGGTGTAGGTAGACTTTCATTAAAAAGAACAAAACAACCCCCTCAAAACTTGCAGTTTTTTATTATATAGCGGGCACGCTGCCTGTAGCCACTGTAAAAACGTGTTTAGACTCCCACCACCATGCCTTTAAAAGGTCTGTCATTTATATAAAATATTCTGGCTGGGAAGACTTAACCAGAAGCTTTGTGGTTTGTACTGCTGTAGGACGCGAGAGGTTTAATAAATAGACTTTGGAATTCCAAAGGGTAGAGAAGTTAAAGCAGGTGGAGAATGATCAAGTTAAGCTTGTTTTTTTGTTTTTCTTCTTTTTTTTTTCTTGTAGTTTATTAAAGTAAAAGAGGTGGTGACCTGAATGTGTGGGCATGGAGGCTGAAAAGGAGGAAGGGGTTCTTTTCGTAGCTGCTCCACGAGCAGTTACTACATGAGATGTAAGATCAGGTGACTTAGTTACAATTAGGAAATGCTGATCAACTGATACTGTAAATCTCGCTTTCTGCAAAAGTGAATTCCAGGAAGTTTTTAACAGGAAGATGTTTAGGAAACTCAGTCTGGTTTTACTTGGACATATGTTTGTGGGTTTCTCAAGGTGTGTATTCTGTTTTGCAAGCCACTGACAGGCTTGGACAACTTTCCTCTAAATTACATGCTAACACTACATTATTTACAGAATAGAAACATAAGAGGGGATCGAGAGCATCTGTGTGTGCTCGGCAGCAACGTAAACCCATGTGGCAGCGACTGTTTGATGGGGCACTTCTCACCAATACATCACGATTTATTTATAGCTTGGTGGAGGATTTCCCCAAACCATCTCTTCGTTTGTGCTTTCGAAAGAAGTGCACAGAGTTCAGACGAGGCAAAAAAAGTAACAAAGAGAAGAAATCCAAGCTGTGGAGTTCATGTCAACTCATTACAACTATTTAATGTTTTCAGAAAATCTGAGAAGCTGTTTGGCTACTAAGTGAGGAAACTAAAGCTTTGTTATGTGAAGAAATTAAATACTTTTTTGAAGAGTGTAGAAATTTGGTACGCTGGGCAGTCGCACATTATCTTTTAGTGGAGACGGTGACAGGATAGGCGGGGAGAGAACAGGAATTCACGTGATCTAGATCTGACTCCTCAGGTTTGTGTTGCTTTAATTCAGACGGCCCAGGTGGTTCACAAAATGTTTTTATTTTGGGCGTTGAGGCAGACAAGTGTTACGTGGCCTAAATATGCTGAAATTGTTTTCATGCTCTGTGAGGCAGAGGGTGACCGAGTGTCTGGGACAACCTTTCACTGGACACGTGTTTCCAGGAATTTAGCCAGACAGATATTTACGACTTGTGATTTGCTCGCCACAAGCCACATCCGTCCATCCATCCGCAGAAACACGCGACGCTGCGAGCAGGTGAACTCGGGAGCCTCGTGTCAAACTACTTGAAGTTACTTCTGTCCCCGTCCGACCGCATTTTTGTGGTTAACATGTGCTAATTAAACGCTGGCAGCAGAGCTGAAACCAAACAGCCATTGGACTCGGAGTGCTGTGGAGTGCCAGGGCCAGGCCTCCTGTCAGCGGCACGAGATTTCGCTCTTTGGGTGCGTGAGCTTTGCTCAGCGCGTTTCCCTGCGGTGAAGCTTCGAGGGGTGCTTGGGCTTCTCTTGAAGAGATGGGGAAATCAATAATTTTTTTAATGCTCGCTCAGCGTTGCGATTCAGTTCGTAGCACCTTGGGAGGTACCACACACATCCTCATCCACCCGCAAAATCTTTTCCCTGATCAGAATTTTCTTTTCCAGAGATCCTTTAGACTTGGCATCCTCCCTCTAACTACCGTGACTCCCAGAACTGACGTTCTTGTTTCCTAGATTGCAACTGACTGCTAATGCTTCTTGAAATATTAAGGCTTTGACAGTGAAAGATGCGTTTACCCAGCCTTTGGGGTGCTGCTGGTCTAGCTGCATGGATTTAGTGACATGAAGATACAGCTTTTAAAATTAAACAGGAAAAAAGTTGATTGATTGAAACTAAATCCTGTGCGGATGGCTTCCAGGATGGGTTGGCCCATACTCCGATTTTCTGTGGTTTGTGTGCGCATCTGCTGTTCCTCCACTACATTCTCAGTTTATATCAGATTGACTTTTGTAAAATTTAAGAGTGGTCAGTGTTGTACCTGGCTGTGCTTGAAATTCCAGTCTTACAGAGCTCAGCGCATGGTGTCGAGGAGGAATGGAAAGTGTAACACATCTTTCATGGGGAAATTATTAGTCTGACGCTTTTACCGAGATAAAACGATGGTGAAAAGAAATTTCCAAAAAGCTGCTAAATTCTGACACGGAGATAATGTGGAAGCAATTGGGTTATTTCCACTCTGAAAGGGTCACATAGCTGTACCTGGAGCAGGAGCGCTGCGTTGTTAGGTGACACATGAAATGCCCATAGAGGACCCTTTTGGTGATTTTGGTCGCCCTGACAACGTTGGGTGGTGCTTGGGGCCAAAATCCACCAGTTTAGGGCAGCAGGGAGTTAACTGTTGGTATTAAATGGCAATAAATTAGTCTTCTCCAATTTGATTCTGTTCTGCCCGTGATGGTACCCAGTGAGTGGTCTCCCTGCCCTCCTCTTTTCATTCTGTTTTCTCCCCTGTCCTGCCGAGGAAGGGGAGCACGAGCGTGGCTGGGTGGGGATGAGCGTAAAGGCTCGGCGTTTTTTGGTTAACGCTTGTCCCTTGTTCTGCATCTTCTGGTGAGTTACTTCATTGTAATGGAGATGGAAGGAAGGGAGCACCAAGAAAGTATTAAATGGATTTGCCCTTAGGTCGGAGAATCATGGAATGGCCTAGGCTGGAAGGGACCTTAGAGCTCGTCTGATCCAACCCCCTGCCATGGGCAGGGACACCTCTTAACCAGCCCAGGTTGCTCACGACCTCATCCAACCTGGCCTTGAGCATCTCCAGGGAAGGGGCAGCCACAGCTTCTCTGGACAATCTATTCCAGAGTCTTGCCACCCTCGTCCTGAAGAATTTTTTCCAATCCAAATCTGTTCTCCTTCAATTTAAATCCATCTCCCCTTGTCCTGTCACTGGACACTCTTGTACAAAGTCCCTCCCCAGCCTCCCTGTGGGTCCCTTCAGGCACTGCAGGCAGGGATAAGGTGCCCTCGGAGTCTTCCCTTCTCCAGCTGAACAGCCCCAGCTCCCTCAGCCTGTCCTCGCAGCAGAGCTGCTCCAGCCCCTGGGTCAGCTTGGTGGCCTCCTCTGGACTCGTCCCAACAGCTCCACGTCCCTCTTATGGTGGAGACTTTTTGGGTATTTCTTGATTGCTGACTCAAGAATGGGAGAAGCAAAGGGACAAATGTTTACTATCGGTCACTAAACTCTGTTGCGGCAAAACAGGACGAGTTCTAAATTTAAGCAAAACCCCCGAAACCACCCCTGTGGCTCCGATTTTCCATTTTTTTGAGGCTGCCCTCCCGTCTCCGCGGGTGCTGGGGGAGAAGCGAAGCACCTTGTTTTGGCGGCAGCTGCCCGCTGCCGGGTTGCTATGCTACGCGCGCGCGTCGCGTGGCGCGGGGCTATTTTTAATCCGTCACAAGGTACGTAAGGCAGCGGCTCTTGCCGGAGCATGAGGTCTGTTCCTGGAAGAAAGGAGTTCTGGTGTTATTTTGAGACTTCGCACACCTCAAGCAAATTACTGTTGAGAAACGGGTGGGGAGAAAAACTGGTTTTTTTGTTTTTTTTTTTTATTCCAAATCTGTGACATCAGTAATTTGTTGTATCTGGGCAGAACAGTGTTAGCTTTTTGGTGTTCTGTTGTTTTTTGGCTGTTGATTTGGGTTTTTTATGGTTGTTTTTTTTGTTGTTTCTGTTTTTTGATTTGTATTTTTTTGAGAGTTGATTTGCATAATTGATGTGGGGTAATTTAATCTGTTAATACAATATTTACAAGAAGTCCCATTGTCCCTGGGATGGGCTACGTGTTTAGGTGCTGAATAATATCTGCTGCACTAAGTTCTCTTAATAGTAAATTTTGTAAGCAGATGGTGGAATTTTTGTTCCAGTAAAAACAGACATCTGACTGTAGCTTTTATTTCTGTGATGCAGAATCTGATTTAGTTTTTTTCCTTTACAATTGTTAATTTTAAGAAGGGTTACAGAATATGAAAAACTGCTTTTCTAACCTTGTTTTTATTTTTTTTTTCATCACCATCCAACAGACTGTAGATTTTAGGGGAATGGGAGCGTGGTATTGGCTGCCGTTGTAATGGCTTTGACGTCTAAACGTGGACAGTTGCAGAGATACTTGACTGACTTCACGTTAACCTAATAATAATAAGCTGTACTGAAAAAGGTGACCTGGAGTGGTTTAGATCCAACCAAAAAACTCTTGTTAATGTGCTTCTGGTGCGGTGTTTGGCCCAAAGCGAGAGGTTTGGCTAGAAATTCTGCTTTTTTGGTTGTCGAACACCGCAGTTCTGAGTCTTACCCTTTGTTTTCCTTTGCCCCAGGTGTGTATTTGCCTTTGTTATGGGAACAGAGCTTTTGTTGGAAGAGCCCCATCGCTCTGGGCTACACGAGGGGCCACTTCTCCGCCCTGGTCGCGATGGAGAACGACGGTTACGGCAATCGAGGCGCTGGTGCTAACCTGAACACCGATGACGACGTTACTGTGACGTTCCTGCCGTTGGTGGACAGCGAGAGGAAATTATTGCACATTCACTTCCTTTCTGCTCAAGAGGTAAGAAGTAGCCGCGGGGCCGGGAGCCTTCATCCCCGCTGCTCGATTCAGCTGGGGTGGCCTCCGCGATCTCTGGGATTCGAGGAATTATCGAGGAGTTTTGGGAAGCCTGCTGGGACACTCGTTAAAGGACACTCGAGGTGATTCTGGAAGATATTTCCCCACAGATTTGAGGCACGTTTATTAGCTCTGTAATTTGAGAGTGACTTTGTGCACGTGAATACGAGCGTACCTTGAAAAGGACCCAGAAATAAGGCTTCTGACACTGTTGCAAGACACAAATAGCCTTTTTTCCCTTATTTGTTTAAAGGATGTAACACATTATGGGCTAGTAGTTACAGTGTGCTCTGCTTTTTTTTTTTTCCTAATGAAACTCTCCTTGTTTCTTCTTTGATAAAGGCAGAGAACCACTTCGTGAAGTTGTGCGCGTGGGGCAAGGAACGTGAAGTAATTGCAAAAAAGTGGGCATCCTGTAGGCAGAGGAGAAAAAGTATGGGCTTTAAGTCTAGAGAGGGTTGTTTTTTCAGTAATAAATAACTTTTATTGAGGAAATGTTTCATGTCAAGAACTGGTAGACTCCTAAATCTGTTTTGTAAAGGCAGAAGGCTGTTTTATCCTCCTTCTATATATGGTACCCACTGTAAATAATTAGTTGCTTGCAGATGAAATATTAGAAAGGCTGTATTGGAGACACACACTTGAAAAATTTAGAAAGGAAGAATAACTGGAGAATATATTTCCAGAGCCTTGAAATTTTGGTTGGAAATGCAGCATGAAAATCAACTTGGCTGTCAGAGACTCCTGGTGGGCCGCAGCCGCGCGCTGACCCCGTCGCCTTCAGAAGGGAACCCCTCGCCCCGGGTGTCCTGGGGTGCTGGAAAGTCGTGTTTCAACCCTCCATCTCTTTTCTCTGCCCCAAAGATAGGTAACGAGGAGCAGCAGGAAAAGCTGCTCCGGGAGTGGCTGGACTGCTGCGTGACGGAAGGAGGGGTCCTGGTCGCGATGCAGAAAAGCTCTCGCCGGCGCAACCACCCGCTGGTCACCCAGATGGTGGAGAAGTGGCTCGATCGCTACCGGCAGATCCGCCCCTGCACGTCCCTCTCGGACGGCGAGGAAGACGAGGACGACGACGACGAGTGACGACGAAGGAACGGGGAAAGAAAACGACCGGCGCGGAAGTGTCCGACCCGGAGTTAGCGTTGTGCTCTAGCAGTTCCTTGTTGGGGAGCGACCCGGTTCTAGGGGAAACGTGCTGCAAAAGGATTTTTTGTGGGTTTTTTTTTCTAACCGGCACGGAGAGAGTCTAGGAGCTCGCCTGCTGCGTGAAGAGAGCGAAAACGGGCTGGACTACAGTTTGTATCAACACAAAGAAACGAAAAACAGCTGATTTTATTATCAAGACAGGAAAAACAAAGAAACAAACCACGTTTTTTTCTTTCCGATTGTAAATCTGTCTATAAATGTACCGCATGTGGTTGTGTAAGAGGTTGTGTAATAGGAAAAGTATACCAGCATCTTAATTATTGCAAGGAAGTTTTTGTTTTGTTTGGTTTTTTTTTCAAATAAGGGCACTTAAGAAAGCACATGGTAGATGGATGTCTCCTCCCTCCGAGATTCTTTTACAGTAGAACTTGGGATTCTGCGTCACCTTTTAGATACTCTGACATGTTTTTTGGGAAAGGCCCTTTTCTGTGAAATCTCACTAGCGCCCAGGTCAGACTGTGAGGGTTTTTTTTTTTTTTTCTTTGCACAAAATATCCACAGCAAGTCCATAAGCAAAAAAACCATAAATTAAAAAAGATCCGGTCATTGTTTTACTAATATTTTAGTTACTGCTGTGCCCATGTAATAAAATCTAAATTGTCCGGAACAAACTGGAAGAGAAGCTAAATTTTTCATTGAGTGAAGTGATTTGTTTCCTGAAAAGGTGTTTGGTTGGGGTTTTTTGTATTTTTTTCTTTTTCTTCTAATAGTTAATAGATTCCTTTTGGTATACGTTAAGAATATTTATTCAGAGAATATCTAAAATATAGGGATTCTATTCCAGTGAGCATTTACTAAACAAAATTGCGTGAAATTTGACAACTCGGACATGCTTGAGAATTTCATATTGTCGGAACTGCGTCTTGCTGTGATACAAACAACGTGTGGCTTTATTATAATTTATTCTTTCATCAACTTAAACGTTGCTGCAAATGAAAAAAAAAAACCACCTTTTCAAAGGGTTACTCCCCCACCCCGGTTAAATCTAGTGAGAATACACTCGACAGTCCTAATTAAAAAGAAGAATCTATGCTAAAGTTGTTTTTAAAAGCACTGTGTTATAGATATTTTATTTTTTTTCTCACTATGTAAACCTGGGAATTTCTTGCATGTTGATTGATGTGGCCATACTTAAACTTCTGTAAGTTCCTGAGATTGTAAGTTCAGAGTATATTCTCCAGTAGAAATTTTATTATATTTGATAACTTTAGCCATGTAACCTGTAATGGATAAAGTTGATCTAAAAATCTCATTGAAACACTAAAGGTTAACGCCAGTTTTTACGTATATGGTGCAATTCAGGGTGTCTTGAAAAGCACTTTCGATGGTGTGGTGGTTGACTTGAGGAATTTCGCAGTAGATGAAATTGTTTTAATTAGAATTTGGAAGGAAGCCCCATAGCACATATTTTTGATGTAGTTCAGAGCTATGGAAACCCTGAGGAACTTGCTGCTTTTTCTTCCAAATGCTGCTTAGATGGTGGTGAAACGTGCACAAACTCCTCCAGAAACTTGGTGACGACACCAAAAGTCTAGAAATGATGAAGTACTGTATTAACTGAGCAATCTGCCCGTCACCCCTTGGGGTTTATTATGAAATATCTTCACTTTTTCTTTTTTTTTCCTTGGCTGCTAGATCTCCTCCGGTTGGTGCATGCGCAAATTTTCAGGTAAAAGACTGCATGCTTCTCTGCAACGTCCCCAGGAGTTACCTGAACTAAATAGGCAACCTGCAGATACTCTCAGAGGTTCTTCACAAGCACATGGTCTTGTTTCAAGTTTGCTTTCTAAATTAGTACTTTTTTTAATTATTTTTTTTTTCGGTCCTTGCAGTGAAATCCTTTTTATACCTTCCCTAGCTGAGGTCACGAAGCTTTTCTGTCGGGGGAACTGAGTGCGGAGCAAGCTGGGATGAGAATTTCCACGATCCGAGGTGCGGGCTCGGTGGGTGGGCGGCGTCATCGCGGTGCGACCCGGCGACGCTCCTGGACGTCCTCCCGGTTCAGGGCTGAGCACGTTGGCTTCGGAAGTTCTCGTTCAGCCACCGGATCGCTGCAAATTCCCATCCTGGCTTACCCAGGACCAGCTTCCCCCGTGCAGACCACCGCTGGAAGGGACAAAAGGATGAGCTCCTACCCTCGGTAGGCTCCTGCGAGGGGTGGGTAAAACGCCGTGTGGAGTTTTAGCATCCCCCAGCCCCTCTGGCGTTGGGCAGCACAGTTCCGTTTCAGGAAGCCAAAAGCTTCCTTGTGACATGGGGAGAATTAACCAATGTGAAAAAATCTTACCTTGAGCCAAATCCGACGAGCGCAGCTTCCTCCGTCTGCTGCCTCGCGGCCCGACTGTCCCCGTCCCCAACCAGCACGTCACCGTAGCGAGTGGAAGTTCACCGCGCAGTCAGTTCAGCTGGTTTATTTTATTATTTTTATTTTTTTTTTTCCCCAAAAGCATGCAGCGTGCTCTCCGGTATTTATCAAGTTCTGGTTCGAGAGGACAGTCCTGGTACTTCAGAGCTCTTGGCTTCTCTTGATCATTTATTGTTTCGTTCCGATGTGCTGTAAAATGGTTTGTCCAGGTGAACGGTGCTTCACGGGTTGTTTCGGAACTGGTGAAGTATTTTTTTTTTTTTTTTTTTTTTTTTTTGGAATCAAAGTAATCCAAACCTCATGTACCTGTAGATTAAAGAGATGCAAACCCCTGCTTTGTGCTAGCCCAGTGGTCGGTGTATGTTCATGGGTCCTCTCTTTGAATTACATACTTGAAAGTTTACCGATACCGAGATTAATTTGCAAACCCTCCCTTGCAGCTTGTTGGCAGGTTCTGCTCTTTCAGCCAAGTATATCTACATATAAAAAATTGGGTTTCTCAATATTATTTTCCTCCTATTATCGCTCGTGGCAGCACAAGCTTTCCTAGCACAGGACTTGGCTTTTCATTGCTACCTCCTTGACATCTGGTCGTTTTTGGTTTGGTTTTTTTTCTGGTTTTATTTATTAATTCCTCAGTGAAAAATCCCTGTATTTCTTTTGTTTTTAATATATTAAAAATTTAGTAATTCTGGATTCTTCCAAAGTTCTGCTGTGCATGGCTTACGACAAGTTACCACTACCTTGTGTTTCCTCCATTAACAAAATCGGTTTGTGTGCTTAGAGACCCTTCTTTTTCTTTCACTCCCCTTTTGTTCAGTGACTTCCCTTACCCCTTTCTTTTTTTAGGTTTTACTTAATATCTGTCACCTTCCAGCTGCTTTTTTTTTAAGCTGCTCTGACATCCCTCACCATGGGAGAGCCTCTCTCCCTGCCTGCCCTGAGCACAATGACGGCACAAATCTCCAGCACCTCTTTAGCTCCCGTTTCTTCTGTAGAATCACTGAGGTTGGAAAAGACCTTTAAGATCGTCACGTCCAACCGTCGGCGCGACACCACTGTGACCACTAGACCGTGTCCTGAAAAAGAACTTTCCCCCATAGTTTCCCAGCGGAGAGTCACGGCGTTTCGCCTGCTGATGCTTCGCTGTTGATCACACGATGCTCTTCCCTTTCCGCTTCCACAGCTCTCTGTGCGGTTCTGCCGGCGTTTGCACGGCAGGTGCTCAAAACTCAACAGCGGAGGAGAACTCGTAAAACTCCTGTCCCTTAGCAAAACGTCTCCTTGAGCCCGTAACCCTCGGGCATCTCCTCGTTTCTCCCCTTGTTGAGCTCGCAGCTCTCCAGCCTGTGGTTGCGGCCACCCTTGGCTTC